GACCCCTCGAAGGTCACCGCCCTCTTTGAGTATCCACCACCCAAGACCCTACGCCAACTTCGCTCATTTCTCGGCCTTGCCAACTACTACCGCCCCTTTATCTACAACTTCTCCGCCATCTCGTACCCCCTCCACGAACTCAACCGCAAGGACGAACCCTTCACTTGGAACGACCACCGCCAAAACGCCTTCGACTTCCTCAAACAAACCATCACCATGGTCCCCGTCCTCAAGATCGTCGACCCCTCTCGACATTTCTACGTTACCACTGACGCATCCGAATTCGCCCTTGGAGCCGTCCTATCCCAACACTTCCCTCGCGACACCTCTGAAACCCCCTCCATCCAAGACTCCCCCACCCACACTGAGGCTCCCCACGGCGAATACCCCATCGCCTTCGCTAGCAAGAAGCTCCTTCCCGCAGAGATGAACTACCCCTCCAACGAGAAGGAACTCCTCACCGTGATCCACGCCCTCAAAGTCTGGCGCCCGGACCTCTACGGACAATACTTCACCATCCGCACGGACAACACCATCGTTTCCTCTATCCTCACCAAGAAAGGCATCACCCCGCGCCAAGCCCGTTGGTTAGACTTTCTTGCCCAATTCACATTCACCATTTGCCACACCCCCGGCAAAAGCAACCGCATTGTCGATGCCCTCTCTCGACGCCCCGACCACAAGCCCTTTGAAAAAGTCTACACAGCCATGACTCATATCCAACTCCTCCCATTACTCCACCACCGCTACACCCAAGGCTACCTCTCTTGCTCGGATTTCTCAACAATCTACAACAAACTTCGTGACCTCGACTCAGTCCCCGACTACTCCCTTCACGACCAACTTCTTTACATTGACACCAAAGGCACTCGCCAACTGACGCACGTGGCCTCCGTACCCAGCTCTTGGCCGAGCATCACGACGCCAAAACCGTGGGACACCTCTGGTTCCAGAAAACCTTCGACACCATCTCTCGTTACTTCTACTGACCTTCCCTACTCGCAGACGTCAAAGCCTACATTCGCTCATGCCCTACTTGTCAAATCGTCAACCCCTCAGACAGCGCCAAGCCCGAAAAGCTACAATCATTGTCGATCCCCACCCATCGGTGCAGTCCATTTCCATGGACTTCGTTTGTGGTCTCCCCAAGACCGACCGCGGACATGATTATATTCATGTCATTGTTTGCCGCTTAACTAAACGCGCCCACTTTATCCCTTCCAACACATCACACAACGCCGAGAACGTCGCCATTCTCTTCTTTGATCATGTCGCATGCCATCACGGTCTCCCCGAGAACATCATCAGCAACCGTGACCCTCGCTTCCTATCATAATCCTGGAAACACCTCTTTAAAGCCTACGGAACCACGCTCAAGTATAGCACTGCATTCCACCCACAGACCGATGGACAAACCGAAAAGATGAACGATACTCTCCAAAGAATCCTGCGGAAGTATTGTCATCCAATATCAACACGACTGGGATCAGTTGCTCACCGCCGCCGAGATCGCCTACAACAATGTTGCCTGTCCTTCCACTGGCATGTCTCCATTCTACCTTGACCTTGGCTATCATCCGCGCTTGCCCTCCGATTTCCTACTCCCCTCGCAACTCAACCCCTCTACGCCCTGCCCTTCCCTCAATCAATGGGTAGCAAGAATGAATCGAATCCTCATAGAAGCAACCGAAACCCTTGAAAGAACACAAGAACAACAAGCAAACAGGACTAACAAACACAGACGTGACGTGTCATTCAAAGAAGGGGACAAAGTATGACTCTCCACCAAACGCTTTGAACCCGAACAAGGCTTGTCCAAGAAACTCTTGAACACGTGGCTCGGACCCTTCCCCCTCATTGAACACACCTCCCTTGTCAACTACAAACTCCAACTTCCGCCTGACATGAGTCGCGTCCACCCCGTCTTCCATGTAGAATAACTAAAAGAATACCATGAATCCCCACCCGAATTTGCGACCGCCCTTACCCCAGACCTCCACCGATCATGCTCCCCACATGCCCATAATTCGTAGTAGAATCCATCACAGGTGGACGAACCACACAAGTATCAGACCATCCGGAACCAATCATAGAATACAAAGTTAAATGGACAAGATACCCTGACGAAGAATCGACATGGGAACCTCTTCCTAACCTTAAGAATGCTATGAAACTTGTTCGCGCCTATGATCGTGCTCACCCTATATCCTGGATACATAATATAACTTAAACCCTAAACCCTTGCGTAAACCCCGCCTTGACCCCGCCTAAACCCCGCATTCCTGCTCTGTTCACACCCCTGTACCCAGCAAAGACTGCTGAAGACTGCTTCCTCACCGCCACTTTTGCGACACCCTCAAGACTTTTTTTCTTCCGCTTGTAACACTCAGACCTCTCAGACCAGCACTTGAGCATTGAACAAACAATTTTTATTTTTATTTTTCTCAAACCTGACAACCTATAACTTTGTAGAACACCAATAGGACTGCCCTGTTACTTGTAGAACCTCAATAGTATTACCCTGTTACTTGAGCATTGATTCCCTCATCCCTGTAGAACCTCGCTAGGATTATCCTGTTACATGAGCATTGATTCCCTCACCCCTGTAGAACCTCAATAGGATTACCCTGTTACTTGAGCATTGATTCCCCTCATCCCTGTAGAAACTCCATAGGATTACCCTGCTACTTGCATTACTCCCCCTTTCCTTTTCTGGCCAGTGATCGGCCCCGTCCCGTCCTTCATAGTTGTTCATTGGGTCTTTGGCAGTCGGGACGCTGCCTTCCAAAGGGAGGGGATAGTGTTACGGACTCAGGCAGGGCTCGATATCTGGTCCGCGGGTTACGACCCGCCAGGTTACTATTGTATTTTTTTTGAGTCCTTGATCTCCGGTTCCTAACTGTTGGCGCCCGTTTTCAAATCCCTCCTCTTGTACTTTCGAATTTCAATACTTGGCGCCATCCAGCATTCTGGCGCCCAGGCTTAGACCTTCGATTTTCAGTTCAGCCCCGAGGCAAATTGCACTTCTGCCCTCGGACTCAACTTGAGTCCGGTACTTAAGATCGGACTCAAGCTGAGTTCGGGGGATTCAGTTGTACCCCTCAGTGCTTGTGCTTCACTGTGACTTGCTTCGACATTGTGTTCAAAATCAAGATTGCGACTTTGCGACTTTATGACTTTGCCACTTTGTGTTTGCGTCCGTCGAGTCGTGTCGAGTCCATGTCGAGTTGAGTGAGTGTGTGTGTGTGCTCTCACTCCCTCCCTCTCTCTTCCCCGACCTCGCTGCTCTGCGTCAACCTCGTCACATCAGCGGCATTTCGAGATCTTTTATCTTCGATATTTTGGGATTACTATTTCGGTGACATTTGTGTTGGCGCCATCTCCTCCTCCTCCCTTCGTCTCTCCCCCCTACATTTTGTCTGTGTGTGGTTCGTGCAGGCCCTGACGCCATCTTCTATGTTTGGAGTGTCAGTGCATTATATTGCTCTTTGTTATTGGTTGGTTCTCGGTTCTGCATCATGCTTGTGTTCGCTTCTCTAGTATGGAACAGTTTGGTATCAGACCAGACCAAGATTGGATCTGCTCATAGATTGATCGATCAATTGATTAATCCATCGATTGATTGATCCTTCAGAAATTCTGATTGAGTGATTGATTGATTAACTGATTGATTGATTGATTGATTGATTGATTGATTGATAAATGTAGTTCTGATTGGTGAGAAGCAAGATAATTGATAAATCAGCTAATGCAAGTTGATTGATTAGTTGATTAGGATTGTTTCCGTATCAAATCTACAGTTATCATCAATTTCCCAGTTGTAATTTTTTTCTTTTCTTTCTGTTTTTGTAATTCGCTAATGCACTAAAATAGAGTTGTTGCAATCTGGAAATTCACTTCAATTTTAGGTTTGACACCAGCAATTTCGCGAAATTCGCAAAATTTTAGGTCGAAAAATCCCAAAAAATTCGCGATTTTTCTTTTCTCTTCAATTTGCATTGTTCGTTAACTTCTTACCTCCGTGAATTCCGTACGAGATTTCTCATGAATTCCCGGATGCTGGAAGGTCCGAACAACTTCCCGAAAGTTTCACCTGCAATCAAGTTCAAATTTGCATTTTGATTAGGGGTTGCAGTCAGTGAACTTTTGGACCACCTTGGGATCTCGGATTGACACGCAATTCCCGACGTATTGATTAGAGTGTCAGTCCACATTGGGAATTCGGGAGCTGCATGCTTATCTATCCCCTGCTTCCCACCACCTTGTTCTCCTGTCCCGCTCATGGCCTAAAGCACAATGCCCGACTTCAACCACTGTGCTTACCAGCAACAACTCATGTCAGCAAGTTAGCGACCTGTGGTACTTCCTCGACGTAGTCCTCAGATAGCAGCTCTTCTTAGCAGACAGCAGCACTCGACAGCACACATCCCGACACCGACGGTACCAAGGAGGGGACGAACAATGGTCCTGCCAATGTTTCCGGTCCAAGGCGTCGATGAGGCGTCCGACGTGTTCTTGCAGCGCGTTCAGGCCTTCATGGACCTGGCCGCTGCCGAACAGGAGCGGATTGTTGCTGCAGTCGCTGAACAGCAGAGACTGGCCCTAGAGGCAGCAGTCCAGGCGCAACTACAGCGAGAAGCCGCCGAAGCAGCGCAACAGCAACAGTGTGTCACAAGCACACATGTCCTCCAGAATGAGCAGCAGCATTTCAACGAACTCCTCACAACGTGGACTTTTGTGCCATCATCATGATCAGCGCCAACAGCGTCGGAACAAGAGAAAGCAAAATTGGCTTACCTATTCAGACACTTGTTACACACTGTGAATTGGCAGCAGGAGCAATTGTGGTGGCACACTCCGGCAGCATACCAGCAGCAATAGATCCTAAAAGCTTCCGCAAATGACTCAAGACACTCGCGACAACGATCAATTCTGCCAAGACACAGCAACAGCAAGTCAACGACGCACTTACTTCGCGCCTGAGTACGGTCGAAGCACAGGCCCGTGCACCAGCAGCAGCAACGATCGATTCATCATCAGCTGGCCAGCAATGGGGCCCACGTGTAGCAGCAATCGAAAGTACAACCACCACCACCACTCAGCGCATTGATCGCACCATTAACCTGCTCGGAGAGGTGGGCCAGTTCGAGGCTCCAACGACGCTCAACAACCAAGTGACGACACTCAGAGCCGAGCTGGGTCAGCTGAAGTCAAGATCTAACAGCAGTAGGACATACAAGATGCCCAATTTCAACGTAGCCAAATTTGACGACTATCACAAGACCGACCCGTTGACATGGTGGACTGCATACAACACGGAGGCTGACGTACATCACGTCCCTGATGATCAGCGCCTCAACGCGCTGTACCTCAAGCTGATTGGCGACAACCAGGCCTTCATGAACAATTTGGCGTTGCAAAAAGCCTGTACGATCGCAACTCTGCACACCAAGATTACATGGGACGAGTTCGAGCAGTTGTGGCAGACGCGGTTTATGATCCGAAACGTGAGGAAGACGGTCATGAACGAGCTCTACCATCGCAACCAAGGCACTATGCCTACCCGAGAATGGTTGACGAAGTGGCAAAAGTTTGTTGCCACTCCGAAATTCAACCTCGATCTCGACGATTTGAGATCTGAGTTCTTCTCTCGATCATGCAACGGGCTGACTACAGCTCTTGGCAACAAGTTGCAGTATGAGACCTTCGATGCAGTAATATCAAGAGCTAACATTCTCATACAAACGGACCGGCGGGCGGCCAATGAAAGTCGCCAGTAGCAGTCGGTCTATGTGGCAAAGTCAGGAACAGCGCCACAATGCCAATGTGATCCTAACTGAATCACAGGAAGACCACGCCGCCACAACAGCCTCTGGTGAAGGAGATGTTGTAGCAGCGATCCCTCCTCGATGCACACAAGCTCAGAAGAAGAAGGCGACTACCCAGGCGTCGGAAGGAATTGGGGAGCAGCCATGGACGCAGTATCACATTAGCGAGGAGGTCTACCACCGCAAGACAAGGGCAAAGCTACTGTCTTTGGTGCAACGGCTTCAAGCACGCGACTGCCCAATGCATAGACAAGGGCAAAGCTAGTGTGCCTCGCCCAAACAGCTCGGGAAACTGAGCACCGCAAGGAGTGCAGCGACGACGCTCCCCACTCTGTCGGAAACGGTTGCCTTGCTAGCAACCGACTTCATCTCCGGGGAACATGCGGTAATCGATGATTCTCGTTTGCCGTACAAGGATTATGCAGTCCAGCTGGTCCCACCGTTGAACCAGCCTAGTCATGTGCATGAAGACAGCGTATGCGCAGCTTGCACACCGTCAACAAGTGAGCTGGTTGTTTCGCCTACACACTCCGAGGACTCATCGGCATGGTCGAGACTTGACGATCTCGACCCGCTAACGATAGAGGACTTCCAATGGTTGCCTCTTCCCTCGACCGGATCCTTGCCCAATCTGCATTGCAATGCCTTAATGGCCAACCTACGCACTTACTTGCACGCTGCAGTACCAGCTCCGTTGACGGACGACGGAGTAAGGGTTATCAATATTCGCACCTACCTTGCAAAGATCTGTCGTGCGCATGCTTAAGGTACGTCGAAAGCGACGCACCCCTCCTCTATATCCGCATTCAAATAGAAAAGGCAACCTGCAGTGCCTTGATTGATTGTGGAGCGTCTCGCAACTATGTGAGCCAAGCTTTTATGGCCTGTGTTGGCCTCGACCCCCGCGTTCGAAGGAAAACGCAGCCAACGCATGTAACACTCGCGGATGGACACACGCAAAACTCAATTAACCGATGCATTGATGACGTCCCTGTTTACTTTGTCCCACTTGCATCCGAGCCGGTGTCTTTTGACATCCTCACATTGTTGCACCCCCCGACGGTTGGCGACCCTTGACTGGTCGGCTGCCGACCCGCCGACCGATCGACTGGTCAGCATCTACCGGTTGAGGGTCGTCGACACTCCGCAAAAAAATAAATAAATAAATAAATAAATAAATAAATAAATAAAATTGGGGGGGGGGTGTCCAGAACCCCTAATAACGCATCCAACACCCCCATAGCGGCCCCCAATACCCCCATACACCCCCCCAAACCGCCCCCAACACCCTCA